GCAGCAGCAGCAGCACCAGCAGCAGCAGCAGACCACCCAGCGGCGGCAGCAGCAGCAGCAGCATACCCAACGCCGCGGCAGCAGCAGCCGCAGCAGACCACCCAGCGCCAGCAGCAGCAGCAGCAGCAGCAGACGACCCGGCGCCTGCAGAGCACCCAGCGCAGCAGCGCCCAGCGCAGCAGCGGCAGCAGCAGCACCAGCAGCAGCAGCACCAGCAGCAGACCACCGGAAGCCCGGCTAGCTTTCGTTCACCCCCTCTGGCCTCAAGTTCTACAAGAACCTTCGGTGATTTTTCTTGTTTTGTGGCTGGTTGGTCATATACAGATCCCAAACACTCCATGTAGTACTCCATATATATATATATATGCCATATATGATCATATATGCCTACATTGACCCCCCCAAACCACCCCAATTGATCGGCATATATGCGGAGTGTCTGGGGACTGGATTGGCACGGTCTTTGGGGGGCAAAGTCTGTCCGGCCGAGCCTCGGATGCGGCGTCGTGCCGTTTGGCCACTGGTGGAACCCGACCGCCGACTTCGCGGAGATCCAGTCGTGCCGAAGCTCCAAAGCTACGACGTCGGACCCGACCATGGCACCTATACTCAGTGCGGAACACGGACTCCAATCACCTTTCCCAGAGGGAATGTGGATTTTCTTAGGGAAGTGCAAGGGGTGAACTTCGTTCTGCAAATCGCTGTGACTTAGCCTATTTGCCTCGGTTTAGGGTTCCTGACTTCGGAGTACACTTGATACAGTTTGGACTATGCAGTGACCCAGCTTCTTGTTGCTTGCAGCTCTCCAGCCTTGACCCAGTCATGGTGCACCCGTTTGCACCGTGGCCCTCGTGTCCACCTTCGCAGCGCCGTTGCGTCGTGACCAGCCCGGACCGTCCACCGCTTTTGAGCGAGCGAATCCGGCGGCTTCGACCGGAAGGCGAAGCGAGAAACCAATAAGAAACCCCCAAAAAGCTGTGGAGAGCCTTTTTTGGATGGCGAAAACCCAGATTTATCAAGATGAAAGTTTGCAATAGTACTCTCAAACGAAGTTCCATCAATCTACGGAGGTGCCTTTGAAATGAGAGCGTCAAGTGCAATTGTTTGGCAGGCAAGTACCTGAAGAAAAGCAGGCATGCGTTTGCGAGAAATAGGTTTGACACCCCTGGACATTGACATATTATTAATGTATACATACAGTGCCATATATAGGATATATAGGGCATTTTCCCATCTCAATCCACCGTGTCTTTTTGGAGGAGATTCTCATGGATTCGCGCGGGGCATTCTCTGCATCACATTGGGGATGTTGTAATATGCACAGCTGGTGGGGCCGGTCGAGACCAGGCATTCTGATGCTCTACACGGCATCCCAGCTGGATGTCTTGCTGGGAGACTCGACCACTACCAGGCCATGTGTCAAATACGCGGAGAGTGAACCTCGATGGCCAACCGCAGCTTGACAAAAACATATGACATGACATGTGTTAAACGGTTTGACATAGTTTTGATAAGAAACTTGGTCAAGTTTTGGTTTTGGTCGCTGAACAAAGGTGTCATTCAGGTTCTAAAGGCTTGGGGGACTCCAAGCAACGTTTCAAGTTTCTACACAGGTGTGGAACATTGCCTTTTATCCAACATATATGCAACATGACATGACATGATCCTTGATCCAACAGTATGTTCCTGTGCAGGCGAAGTTGCCAGTGATATTTGTTGATACCGGACTCCAGTTACCCTAATCGCTGATACTTCCCCTTGCATCGAATCTGAAGGTGACCAGCAAGGTTCAGTTGTCAAAAGCCCGAATGCTTAACGGCACAACCCCAAAACTCGTCAGTTCCGTGTGGAACTGCAAACCCCAGGTTGCCTGCAGGATCCGAGTTTTCTTTAGACCTTGTTTAGTGGCTCAGAGTATCAAGACACCAGGTCATGTGGTGGTACTGCAGTACTGCATGTGTGTTCTCCATCGCCGAATCATCTCAGCAATTCTCAGCATATCTCAACCGACATGTCCCTAGGGATCCAAGTACCTTCTCAGAAGGCACTTGGACCCTGAAAACCTACATAAGAGTGTCTCCAATCACCTCCTGAAAAGGTACGACTGGATCCCTAGGGTGTGTGTGTGTGTGTTTTCGTGCAATATGGATGTGACTCAAACCTTCCCCCGCCAATCCACGGTAGGTTGACATGTTTTATAGAGGAACCTGTTCATTTCCAGGGTCAACCGGGCTTCCGGGGTTTTGACCCACAGCCATATAATCCAAGTATGGTCCTGAAGAAACAAATCGGGGGCGTACCTTGCCCAACACCCAACTGCTGGCTTCGTCCGTTCATGGCCAAGTTGTGACGGGAGGCCCTCCACGCGGACGCTGACCGGCTTGTTTCTGGCCATCAACTTCCTTTGCGCCACTCAAGACATTGCAGCGTCTCGGCGTGGCCGATCAGATGGGATGTTGCTTCAGGTTGGGTGAGATTGGACTCTTTGTTCGGGGCTTTCTCGTTTTGAAGACCGAACTGTTTGGGCCTGCAAGGTCTTCCAGCACAGGCCTTGAGTGGGAAAGGATCCCTTTCTTTCTGCCTCCAAGCTCGGTCGGAAGAACAAGAAAGCGGTCGGCACACATGTCAGTAACGTAGACTTCTGATTATACCCCCCCATATATAAAGAAGGTGTTTCCATCCAAATGGGGTTTATGAATCAAGAGTCTACATCTACATTCTATAAAATAGAAGTTGGCTTTTCTACTCCCCCCCCCTCTTCGAACTGCTAAGGCTACAGGGAGATGTTCAATGACTCTAGTCCTTAGCAGTGGGACAACCAAGTGGGTGAGCACCTGGAGAATCGGACCACCAAGCGGAGTGGAGGAGGGCAGCGAAGCGCGCAGCGGAGTGGAGGCGCTCGTGCGTGCTTGCGCAAGCCACATGGATGACCGCTGCAGCACTCAAGTGGATGACTACTTGAAATCCCGGACAGATGGGACCAGCCACTGACAGATCGACCCGCGGCTTCGCCGGTTCCGAAATCGAGCAGCCCAGGTCGATGGCTGGGCCTTGACGATGCTTCGAAAGGAGAACTGCAACTACCAGGTGCGGTCTCCGCGGTGCGCCGCTCCCGCCGACCTTCCGGGCGCCTCCCTGGAAGGTCGGTCGGTGTGCCAAGCGTGACGTCGACGTCAGTGACGTCTGTCTAACATCCACCCTCTCTGGGCCAGGGTGTCTTCCCATTAAAATACAGGAGCGATATTAAAACTATATAGTGACGGACAGATACTTAGAGCATATGTTTTGTTCCAGTGATCTAGTGTCCCTTAGAACATCAAGGTCCGTCACTATATATATATATATAATATAGAGAGAGCCCCATGATCTACCTACAGCTGTTTTCTGTGGGCTTGCCCGTACAAAAGCTATGTTTTGAATCTGTCAGTTAGCTGACGACTACTAAATGTGTTTCCAATAAATACCAAAACATGTGAATAACTCAATAATACATGCAACTATGCTAACAAACAAAACATCCTTTTTTGTTGATGTTGTACAAAGAAAAATGATAACACAAACCAAACAACAACAACAACAACAACAACAACAACAACAACAACAACAACAA